GGTGGCAGAAGAGAGGGAGAAGGGAAATGATACTAAAACTTAACTTACATAACAATGTAACAATAACTTAAAAATAACTTAACACTAATTTTTTATCTTTTCTGTTATATATATATATATATATTTTTTTTTTAAGTTAAAACATTTTTTAAAATATATTTTATGATGATGGAAAGAGGAAAACGTTGAATTTTTATCGACACAAAGAAAAATTTTCATATTTTTTTCATATTCTGCAGATGACAATATTAAATTTAAAATAAATATAAAATTCAGTGAAGAAATACGCAGATCTAATCTTAAATTTTTCTTTTCTTAACAGCTTTTAAGATCGAGCCTGTAATACGTAATAGTTCCTGTAAAAGGGGTTTCTCCGCATGACGGGAAGTTATGCAGTGAAGCCGAATTACCATTTTAAAAATTCGTATTTGATATACAAAATTACGAATTTTTTTTTTTTTACTCATTTATGTCACTTTACCTATCAAATTACCTTACTAAACATATAAAATGTTAGACTAGAATAAAATATTGCTTGAAATGGAATTTAGTCATCCTTACTGCAAATTCCTTTGTGTAAGATGTTAAGGAGCAATCTAAAAGTACAGAAAGCAATACTGAACATTCAACTATTGAAGCAATTCTGGTCACCTGGAGAATTTCTGGTTGAGATTGAATGGAGGTGATACTTTTCCCGAGAGCATCACAAGAATACTCTGTTCGGATTAAATCTGTCCAATGAGCAAGCTAATCTATATTGCCTAATAAGTATAATTTTTCGTGTTTATGACACATTAGAGTCATATAAAACTCATTTTTATAAACAACTATAATTTTTAAAGAATTCTTCTTACATTCACTTACATATATATTATATAAAGTTTATAATATTTTATTTCAGAATTATTGTTTATATTCGTCTACAGTTTGAAAGTTTGTTTCTATTTGTTTAAAATTTATGTTAGATAACATCAATATTTATTTTATAGAAATTTAATAAAATTTTCATTATAAAATATATCAAATTATATTAAAAATAAATTCTATATCGAATTATATGTTTATTAAATTGTTCTCTAGTTGAACATCAACATCATCGAACAAAATAAATATGATTTCCTAAATTCCAAAATTAATTTATTTATGATATTACCCATAAAAATTTCAAAATAAATTATTTTATAAAATGCTATTTTTTCCTCTGAATATTCTAAAAGGGAATATTTTAATATTTTTATTTATAAATTATAAAATTATTGCCAGGAATAAGTTGAAAATTATAAATAGATATCAATTCTATGTTCAGTAATATATTTTATATGCTACTATACAATTCTGTCTCTCATTTTTTTTGGATAAGTTGGAAGGAAGGCAATCTGGCGTCATCTTATGAAAAATATCAGCCCCCTGTGGTGCAATAAGATAGTGACACAAAATCAGTTGTCTCCACATCGGTTTTTGTGTTCAAGCCAGCATGGTTACACAAAGTAGTCTTGAAGGATAATAGCCTATTTCTTCCTAGCACTCTTGAAATGCTATCCAAAATTTTTAAGTATTGTTGATGGTAACGTTGTAGTTGAATATTGAAAAATTTCTTCTCTTTTTATTTCTTTACTTTCTAAGAAAATAGTTACATGATACATTCTATTCTTATTCAAAGAATAAATTAATGTATAAATATACATATTGTTTTATATTTTATTTTATTTTATTTTATCGTGCATCTCTTCCTTAATTAAATATTTAAAAATTCATTTTGCATTTTTGTATAGAAATTAAATTATATATTTTATTCTAATATCTTATTTTAGCAAATTTTCAATCCTAAAAGTTGCAGTATAAAGTATTTATATTTCTAATTTCTTTGTTGTTCTATCGAAACTAGTAATTATCAGTCAATTTATCATTATAGAAAATTGAAGTTAATTAACTATTGTTTTGGAGAAAGTTAAACATTTATCAGCTAGTAATGTATCGTTGTAAATGATATACAATTTTAATATTGTTAAATTAATAAGAATTTCCTAAAATTAAACTTTTATCCTTTCCTAATTTATAAATAATTTCTCTTTATCCTGAAGGAAATAAATTTATCTAGATACGTTTAAATTCTTAAAACGTTTTAAAGTGGACGAAATAAACTCTTTCTACGCAGCATTACATCAGAGATTGTCAGAAATGATCTCTTTTAACAACCTTACAAGAACAACGATAGAGAATTTTCTACATATCAGAACATGGGATACTGATCTCTAAATTTTAAGAACTACACTTTCTCCAATCTCTGTTTTTGTCACATGTGATCATTTTATAAAGAACTGAGTATGCTTCTTCTAAAATTTCACTCCGTATCTTCTCAAAAACACTGTTAATCGTATAGAAAATAAATAATTATAGTTATTTTGCTGTTCAAAATGAGTCTAAACGTATTTCTATTGAAGAAAACGTGTTATTTATAAATAATATAAGAAATTGAATTATTTAA